GGGAAAAGATGGAAAGATGAGCTATCCAGTGGTGCACAGGCTTTGATTGTAATATGGCTGAGGTCAGAGTTAGATTGATCTGAAGCAGTGACCAGGTTTTTACTTCTCTCTTTATACTTCTTAAGCAGCTTCATCATTTTCTGTAGTTTCTCCAGTGATATGTAGACTTAAAAAAATGGGGCAAAGTTGATAATGATAAGTAAAATATGTGTATCAAATTATTTAAAATTCTCCTTCTATACTTCTCAAATCACTTGAGGAAAATGTGTTATCTTGGTTCATATTTTATGTGGTGAACTTTTCATTATTAATTCTGTTATTAAGCCCTATAGTGTGTATGTTATTTTGGAGCTTCTAAATGTCTCCACTACTGGAGCTCCACTGTCTGTGTATGGAAATACAGCCATACTACTAAAGATTTTAAAATCCTGAAATGGCAATTACAATTAGAGAGGCACAGAATTCCCCAATTTTTGGAGACTTCAACACCTACTACTGATAACTTAGAGAGATACTCCCTGATACAATAAATCCCACAATTTCCCTTTCTTAATTACTTTTTTAAAAAAAATTGATCAGTGAACATCAAATTGGCTTTTTATATAGTATTTTAGCATTTTTAAACCCTCTGCTGAAAATGATTGAGGAGATTGAGGCATAGCATAAGTAAAGAACATGCCATCTATTGGTGGATGGTTTATGGCTGTATTTACAGGAATCAGCACTGCTACACTGGGTTCTTTCCTCAGTTATTTCCCAGGAAGTTGTTAATCCAGCTATTTAGGATCCAGCGCCAGTATGTTAACAAAATGCTAGCAAACATATTTTTTTCCCATGATGTCCTGAATGCTCGTCCCAGATACAGTGGAAAACAGAGGAGCATACCTTGTTCTAGTTAGTGGTGCATCAAAATTGCTCATCATCTGTGTTCTGAAACAAGAATTTGTGTGTATTGCTTCGGATACATTGTTTTATCATCCTGTAAAACACACAGAGAATCACAGCCACTATTAATTTATTCCAAACCTTACCATTGGCACATCCTAAATTTCAGCAAGTTGTTTACCTAGAATGATAATTCACAGTGTAAATTATCACAAAGCGTTTAAATGCCACTAATTGTAATGAGAAGTAAGCAGGCTGGCATGAGAGTGAGTAAATGAAGCAGTGTGTGTGGGACTGAAACAGCTTACTGATTTGCAGTGTGACAATATAGTTTAAATCCTCCTTCCTATTTTCAGCCTGGAAATCAGAATCTATTCTGCTAACCTTCTAAGCTTCTAAATTTGGTGTCATGCAAGGGCGTGTTTAAAAATTAGCATTTAAAAAGAAACCCACTTGCTTTAAGTTTAAGCTGACACTGTTCCTTTCCTCTGTGGAAATGAAATTTATTAATCATAATAAAACCATCATATTCTGAAGGTAGAGGTCACCCTGAGGAGAGGAAAAAAAAAAGAAGTCTATTCATCACAGAGGAATTTCAATGCATTTTTTTCCCAGATAATATCTGAGCATGTGTTCTTTCCCCTTTGGAACTATTTTCATCCATGTTTGTGCTTACTTGTGTCACGTGTATTCAGGAGTGTGCAAAAATGAAAATTGTGCAGTTTAATTTTATATATTTTCTTTTACAGAAGATTTGAAAGAATTCCTCTTATATTTTATTTTGTGTTTACGTCGCACGCATTTGTTTAAGTGGAATTTCAATATCCTGTAAAAGAAAAACAAGTGTTTGTTATTTTAACAAGAATATAAGCATCACTAATTCTGCAATAACATTTCTATGTTAATATCACAGTAAAAGCTTTAGCATTATCATAATATAAATATAAACCATTCTTTTTAAGGAGCAAGGATTAACTTTGGTCACAGTTCTCACATTAGGATTTCTTCACAACTCTTGTTTTAAGAAAGAGACGTGGTTTGCATAGAAGGATGAAAAAAAAAAGCAATGTAAAACACTGACAATAAGTGATTACTGCTTTGGAAAAAGGGTAATAAAAATGTACTCAGAAGTCAATACTGGGTTGAAACAGTCATATTTTCATCCTTTGAAATTGCTTAATGTGTGTGTTTATCCATATTTTCCCCTCAGTTGTCAAGATTTCTGTTGAATATTGATATAATAATATTATTAGCAACATGGTACATTACATCAGTGTTGTAAACTTGCCAGTTACTTCAGTAGTTGACTTCAACAGAATAATAATTTAATACAGCCTGAGCCCTGGGGATTCAGGCTTGGTCCTTCCTTATAAAAGGCTCCTGCATTTGGGCCACGTAATGCCACCCTAAGTGACCTGTTGGACTTTGTTTTGTGAGGCAGTGGGACCAAGCCAAGGTTCCTGTAGGAATGACTTGTAGGATGGAGGCAAAGGCACCCCTACCACTGGACCAAAATTTATTAATTTATTTTTTAAAAATTAAAATCATATTTGAAGTACATAATTAATGTATTTTCTACAGCTATAGATTTACAGCCTTTGCTCAGCATTGAAGTGATACCAGATAGTCAGGGAAAAAAGAAACCCAAACAAAAGATACCAATTCCCACTGCTTTAAATGTAATAATCATGGCATTAAAGCATGTAAAATAATAGTACATGCAATTCCTCTTGCATGTTACTATGGACATGAGGAAAACATGTCTACCTTTAAATTAATTGTTTTCCCTTCCTAGATGTTTTCTTGCTGTTGGAACAAAATTTGGCTGGAAAGAATTAAAATTATAATGATATTCAAAATTCTCAGACTCTAAAAATTGGCATAGAGCAGTAATGTCTTCTTCCCTTCAGTGCAGGTGAACAAGACACAAGGGATTCTGTTATGGGTCTGTCCCAGCTGAGTGTTTCAAATCCCCAAATCATGTTTGCACCCTACTGGGGAGGGTTGTCAAGGCTGAGGTTTATGGAAGCTCTTCCTAGCAGAGAGGCTCCAGAGTGTGGGATCGGTGTCAAACCTGCCTAGAGAAATCTCAAACTGCCTTTGCAGCCCAGGAATCACCAACTCCTTTACCCAGCATAGACTGATGTGAGCTGCTTTCCTTCCCTGCTTTTCCAGTGGGAATTGCCCATTTCCTTCGTTGAGTAATTTCTAAAGATAGGTGTTCTTGGATACCAAGTACTTAAGTAGAATTGATAGACAAATTTAATCCCTTACTCATCAATACTTCGGAAGCAAAAGAGGAACTAATGTATTTTATACAAGCCTCTTACACGTATTTTCCTGAGTTTCAGACGAGGTTTTAAGGAAAGCGATTGCCTAACACACTGCTACCCCTGGAATTTCTTGTATCCCTCTGATAGCAATGAGGACTTCTCTCCCCAGATCTAAAGCAAACACAGCTGTGGGGTGAGATATAGAGCTCATGCTCATCAACTTGGGGTGCTTAAATAAATTAATTCATTTGTAATGTATTATCCCTCCATAGGAATTTGGATTTACTAAGTAAACAGGACAGCACAACTGAAGGCATTCATCTACAATGGTTGCACTTTGAAGTGAAACCTCCAGGCTTTAGAATGCTTTATAAGAACTTAGGTACACTTACATTTGCTCAAAATGCTGCACTCCTGCTGGGAAAAATAATGCCCAATTCACAATGCTGAATATGAACAATTGTACACTTGGAAGTTTGTACTTAATGAACTGTTTTCTACTTTTTTGGTTTTTTCCATCAAGATGTGTGATTATATATTCTTGGAAAACAGAAAGCATATGACTTCTGCAAGTGTGTGGCCCTGTGTTTGTGCAGAGAGTCAGAGACAGGGATGTTCAGTCTGCCTTTTCTCTGCTGAACCTTTTAGTGAGCACAGTTGTCACAGGAGGTGATTTGCTGGATTTCCATATGAAAGGTATCCCTGATAAGCTGGCAAATGTTGGCTCAGTGAGATGGAGAATTAAGGATTTATTGTCTATGGTAATTTCTGTTCCCTCCTTGAAGATGTCTCTGGGTAGGTGGGAATGTCTAGTTCAGATAATTTGGTCCTTTTCTCTACCTCACATCCAGGACCCACAGTAGTGGGTGGTGGAGGATTGCATATGCCATGGAAACATTCCTTTCTCAGCTTTCCCTCAGCTGGTTAGCTTGGAATCCACTAATCAGATTCTGCTTGTGGAGGAGCAAACGCATGATAATAAAATAGAACAATTGTCCTCTTTTCAAAAAAGTAAGTTTGTACATGTATCTGAAAAATAAGATAGTTACACAGAATGAGACCAGTCTGTGGTTATTGTTCACATAAGGCTAAAAAAATATTGGCTTTTTTTTTTTTTTTTTAAGAGATATCAAGGGCATTGTTAATCCTTGTTTGCTACATTAGCCCTCGTATTAAAGACAGTGCTGTAATTACAGGATTGCTTTTGTTGGTCTATGTGACACCTGAGAGCAAATGGAAATTGTTTGATTATGGAGAAAATGTTAGACACTTGCAGTGGAAGCTGTCCCTAGCTGGCATGTCCATCTCGCTGATGGCATTCCCTGTACCCCCAGACTGGGCAGCAAAGCCCAGTGTGCCAAGGTGAGGCAGAGGACAGGGCCAGCAGACGCACCAGGGACACGGGGAAAGGAGCTCTGGAGTAGTTCCAGCCATAAGGATTTTGTGTGGGGAGAAATGACAAAACTCTGATTTTCACTTCACTGGCTTTGTCTGGGCCTGCAAGCTGAGGCTGCAGCTGTGCAGGTGTTTTAGGGAGGCACTGTCTGAGCAGGAGGAGCAGGAGGCTGCACCCTCCTGACCCCGCGTGCCTGCCATTGCTCCACAGCTCTCTCCTCAGCCTGAAGCTGATTCCTGATGGTCTCATAAAGCCAATTATACATTTACTGTCATTTGTAACCTTAACACTGCCCAAAGGACATTGCTTTTGAATCTGTAAAGTGAGTTTATTTGTAAGGAATTTGGCTAGAACGGAAAATTTCATCACGACCATTTTGTTAATATCGATAATACGTTTTTTAATTTTTTTTTTTTCCATTAATCTTAAATTTATTTTCTTTTCAGTTACGGACGAGTTTATGCTGCAGACCCCTACCACCACACACTTGCTCCAGCAGCCACCTACGGCGTTGGTGCCGTGGTAAGTGATCGTTTCCTCCTCTTCCTCATCACTGTCTCTCCCATCTCCCCATGCTCCACTCCCTGCTTGGATCTTAGCACGGTTGACATCTTCTCACTTTTAGTTAATTGAATTTGTCTCTTGTGCTAACGGCAGCTAAAATGCCACATTAATCCTCCCAGTAAACTTGATAAATGTCTTAATTTCTTGGCAATGTACTGCATGTAAGTTATTATATTTCTAATTTTGCAAGTATCACCTAGCTGAGCACTTACCTTAATGGAATAATTAGTCATTTTGATAATTAAATCCATCACTAACGGAGTGCATTGTCAATGTGGAACATATTTTCATTTTTTTTTTCCTTGCATTTACATAGCCCCCAGGTTCAAGTCATACCAAAGATTATATTATAAGAGCTCTGCCAAAGATCTCAGGTTGCTTCTGTCAGTCAGCTCAAAACTTGACTTTGCTTTCTCCCGCTTCCCCTTCTAGATTATAATTAATATCTGAAATGGCAGCTACCAGCCCTCCCCCCACAAAAAAAAAAAAAAAAAACCCCCAAAA